CTGTGTGTAGTCTAGTGGTTCAGTTCTAAATGGATCTAATACGTTGAAATTGAGACAGGAGAGTTCATTGTCTCTCTCTCTCTCTCTCTCTCTTTCTCTCTCTCTCTCTCTCTCTCTCTCTCTCTCTGCGCGCACGTGTGTGCGTGTCTGAGTGTGTGTGTGTGTGTGTGTGTAAAGGTCACCAACGAGTGACAAAAGTCTGTTTCATGCCTGAACACTGTTTTCAGACCGGTATTTACACGAACTCCCCACGAGGCAGGATGTGACACAAGACCAGTTTTTATGCGGAGCAATCTGTAGACCCTGAATACAGGAGGTCAGGTTTGTCTACCTCTCCAGACGAGACTCTGCCTTTCGGTATAGCCTCGTCTGGGTTCCTCACTGCCCGAAGGCAAAAAATTCGTCAGAGTGTTCTTCCGGAAGAAGTGCCATGTGTGTGGTGTTTTGGCTCGAGAATTTATAAATGTTGGTCAATGGTGCATTATTGGTAGCAAGGTCTAATGTATTATCATAACAGCTATTTGGTAGGCAGTGACGGTTATATTTCAAATTATATTAGAGGATAGTGAGTAGAAATAATGGTGGATTCAAATGCGGTTGTTTGTAGCTATACTTTAGTACTGTTTGTTAACTTTTCACTCATTATTTATTATTGATTACTTTATTTACATTATTTACATTATTCGGACTATTGTCCTCATCTTTGTCGCCATATTTATTACAACGTTTCGGCCGTTGTACGCTCCGGCCTTCTTTAGGTGGTTGCAATAGTCCGAATAATGTAAATAATGTACATAATACCTCATCTCAGAAATATAGATAGATACTGATTCATTTATTATTGTTGATTATTATCACATTTACTTATGTTTATGTGTGCATTTGTTGCTTGTTAATATATTTATTATTTTTGTGAGTACCGTGGTCGTTAACGATTAAGTATAACTCAAAAGTTCAATGTTAAAATAAAACAATATTTAATTAAAACCACAAATAAACACTTAACAAGAACAAAGAAGTAAAAGTCAACCAAAGATAATTAACCATTTCAGTTTCTTTGTCAGTAGCATAGCTCGGCTTAACGTCCGGTAAATCAAAATCAAAACCAAAATCATCGACGCACAATAATTCACACTAATTCGACTGGATAGTTCCAATCATTAGTCACTCAATAATCACTTGCCGTCAGTAGTTTGACATCACTATTTATACACCTGACTGAAAAAATATATTCATAAGTCCAGAGTGTCACGCTCGAACCTCAGTGTCGGTAGTTACTCATATTACAATTATTTATATCTAGCAATTTTATGGGGCTTTCCAATACACAGAGACAGACCAATCAAAGCTAATCCCCCAGACATCAAAGATCAAAGACCACAAAAACAGAATGTGCTTTCTTATTGATATGGCAGTTCCTGTAATGTAGCTTTGAAGATCTTAAAAAATTATCAAAATATCTTGAAGAGGAAATAAAAAAAAATGTGACGAATAAAGACATCAATAATTCCAGTTATGGTAGGGGCCCTCGATTTGTTTGGAAAATGTTCTGATATATTTATTGAAGGGATTCCTGACAGCCATATCTTTAGTAAATACAAAAGAAATATTCTTAAAAGTACAGTTTATACACTATAAAAGAGTTTTATCTACGTAATATGTCTATGCGTTTGTTGGTCCTTTTATTTCTTCTGCACAGATGTGCAGCGAAAAATATCATTATGATATTTCTAACTTTAGGTCTTTGGTTGAGACCCGAAAGAAAATGAGTTTACAACAGAAATCAAAGAAAATAATAATAGTTAAGGGAAGAACGAGATTTAAGTGACTTATAATTTTTTATAGATTTATATATTTTTATACTTGAAAAAATTGTTTAAATAAAACTTGAAGAAGACAGACATCCTGTCGAAATATTGTTTGACATTATCAAACAATGTTTTTTTTTTATTTTCTTTATCTTTTCTTAAATCGCGCTCTTCTCTTAATTTTTAATAATAATAATAATAATAATAATAATAATAATAATAATATGTGGCACATGGGAACATCAACAATCCCTGTTGTAGTTGGAGACCTAGGATTGGTTGGAAAAGATTCCAGTAGACTAATTGAAGGGATTCCTGGTAGTGCATGCATCAAAGAGATACAAAAAATTGTTCTCACAAGTACAGCCCACACTTTACGAAGGGCTTTATCTATGTAAAATATGTAAAACGTTACAAAGACTTATAATATTTTTTGTAGATTTATATATTTTTATACTTGAAAAAACAGTTTGAATATAACTTGAAGAAGACATTCTGTCGAAATATTGTTTAACATTGTCAAACAGCGTGTCTTTCCTGTTTTTTATATTTTCTTAAATCGCAATCTTCTCTTAAATATTGAACAACATTAGAAGTGTTACGTCAATCATTTTGTTTAATAATAATAATCTAATTATCAATAATATAAATATTAAGACGCATATCATAAATAAAAATTAATAGTAATGTTCAGCATTATTGCATATTGTTCCTCAAATTAATTTATCGTTTGTCAACATATATATAAGGGAGTGTTGAAAATTGAAAACACGATCCACCATCCCAAATATGACTAAATTGCCAAACGTCACAATTATTTTATATAAATGTTACTTATAAGAAATCCTTCGCTAGCCCCAAAACTTTTTAGCGCCTTCCGTATTATTTTAATTATAATCTGCTAATGTGGAAGTTTCAAAACTTTTTAGCGCCTTCCGTATTATTTTAATTAAAATCTTCTATGTGGTCAGACATAAAACCTTTTAGCGCCTTCCGTATTATTTTCATTATAATCTGCTAATTTGTCGGTCCAAAAACTTTTTAGCGCCTTCCGTATTATTTTAATTAAAATCTGCTTATGTGGTCGGTTCTAAAACTTTTTAGCGCCTACCATATTATTATAATTATAATCTGCTAATGTGGTCGGTTCTAAAACTTTTTAGCGCCTTCCGTATTATTTTAATTAAAATCTGCTAATGTGGTCGGTTCTAAAACTTTTTAGCGCCTTCCGTAACCGGTATGAGAGCACATAATTTTTGTTCTGTACAGTACCATCAAAATTTGAATTGAAGACGCCACCCTCCAAGTTAAAACTGTCTTATTAGTTTCGTATGAACCTGCCGTTCATTAATGTGATCAATATGAATATCACACTCGTGTAATATTTGTCACACAATTAACAGTGAATCCTTTCTTTACAAGAATCTCCATGTGTCCTAGTTGTACCAACAAATATATAGTGATTTTCCAAGCGTAGCTTAGATGTGGCTCAAGGCTGAAAGTAGGGGGCACCCAGTGAGGATCGAACTCACTACTCAGTCGTAATTGTTCTAGCGAGATAAACTTGCTAACCATTACACCGCCTCGAGGCGCCCAACCAACAAATATATGTAAATATATATATATATATATATATATATATATATATATATATATATATATATATATATATATATATATATATATATATATATATATATATATATATATATATATATATATATATATATATATATATATATATATATATATATATATATATATATATATATATATTTATATATATATATATATATATATAGGTCACTTTGATTTTGATTTGAGAGATTCCTATACCCAAAGTTGTCTTCTCCACAATATTGAATTCAGAGTTGTCCTTCTTCTAGACTGGTTACCAATCAAGGATAGAGTGTACTGTTATTTAATCCATATCTGGTGGGATAGAGAGTAATGAATTCATGTCTTTTCCAATGGCATTAGTGCGAACCGAACACAAATTTTAAGCTCTGCTGGCTGATTTTAATTTACGCGCTGTTTACTCGCACTTCCTGAGCTCGAAATACACTTGTAAAGAAAGAAAGAAAAATGGAGGGAGAAAGCAATAAAAAATGAAGAATAAATTTTAGTGTTATTTAACTACCTCCGCAATGGAGAGGCAATAGTCCAAGGTGAGAGTAAGATAAGTGAAGATACACTTGTAAATGAGGGCAAAGGACAATGACCACCTCTCGTAAACAACGTCACTTAGGCATCAACATACACCATTCCTTTATGAGGAGTTTCTGCCCTCAGAGTCGAAATCCTCAGGGACGGGTCATTTTTTTTACTGCGTCCTGCTCGAAGACTAAAATACAACTAAGAAGGTATATTTACCCGGCCTCCCACCAAGGCTGGATGTGACACAACGTGGGAAGCGCCAAATGCATACTTATGCATATGGACCAAAGACAATTTTTTCCCCAGCCTCCGCGACCACTGTCATCGGTATTACATCGACCCAATCTCTTTAGTGCAATGGGAAGGTGCTGCCGCAGGGTTGGAATCTCCGGAGCTGAGCAATTTCTCCCATTTAAAATGCGGAGAAACATAGCTTCACTTACAGACTACAATAATCCCAGTCAGAATACGGGTGGGGGAGTTGCGCTCAGTGTTCCGCCCCCTCTCGCCACCAACATCACAGCCACTACCACGGGGGTAAGATATGATACACAGTCGGTTTCTTGTAGAATACTCATGTATACATATGGGGCATAAACAAGAAATTGTCCTATCCCTGCAACCACTGCCATGTTGACATCGAAATCTTCAGACCCTCTCCTTGATGGAAGAATAGTCTGAGTTGAGGGGATGTTACTTAGTTAGGCCCCCTGAAAGAGGACTCACCTCATCACACGCTGCGAACACTTTGAAAGTAGAAATAACGCTGATGTCCCGTGCAGGAACACAGGGGTTTGAAAGAGAGAAAAGCGGCGGAGATAGCGGAAGTTGTGAAAGAAAGAAAGAAAGAAAGAAAGAAAGAAAGAAAGAAAGAAAGAAACGGTGTGTACTCGTTTGTGACTTTGTGTGTATAACATTTCCACTCGGTTCAGGCTGACGTTATTTTGTGAAGGTTTCTTCTTGTGATGTCAGCGACAAGCTCGTCTCCAATGACAATTTAATGATTGGCGAGTCGAGCGAAATGACAAAAATGTCATGAATTTGGCCCAGTGCCGTAAATTACATAGAAGGTCACAAGAACCATGGCGACAATCCCTCATCGCAATACAAATTTACAGCTTCTTTCCCCACATCTCTCACTCTCTCTTTTTATCTCTCCCTCTTTATCTCCCCATTCACTCTCACACTCTCTACTTCTTCTCTCCTTCTCTCACTCTGTACCCTTTCTCCCTCTTCATGTCCATCTCTCTGTCTCTCTCTGTACCTCTTTCTCTCTCTCTCTCTCTCTCTCTCTCTCTCTCTCTTGCGTGCGTGCGCCTCCGCCCTTTCGAAGTCTTGATATTTACTAAACTTAGCTTAATCTATCTCGTGGATATAGTTTTACTCAGCGGCTTTCCAGGTTAGAATTCTTCTGCGCCCTTTCCAGATCCGTTCCCCTCCTCGGTCCTGTTCTTGTCAGGATGCAGCAAAACACGAAGCGAGTCTGACCCCCGGGGTTTCTGATATTGTGGCTGCATCTCCACCATTGCACAAAAGAAGGATGATTGGAGTATTCTGATGCCTGTCTGACACTGGTTGCTGGAACTGGGTAATTCTTGTATTTGGAACCACATATACGCTTTCAGGCACCCTAAATTAACCCTACTGTCGTTAGGAGGATAGCTAGATATCACTATAATAGTGAAGTACCTACTGTGAACTCACTACACTGCCAAACTTGTCTACGAGACAAGGTGGCTAGCCATCGCTCTACGGTAGACGAGCTTATATAACTAGCGTAAGATAGAACAAGGATAAATACAAAAAGTAGTAAGACTGTGCAACGTCAACTTTTCAAATATGAACAATAGGAATATTATACATTATCAATCGATTTACCTTGAAAAATAATTATTCAAAATTCTTTGTGTAGTGTTCCTTCAGGGTAGGTGATTAGTGGCAATGGTGTCTTTATCTAGCTAATATCTAACCATTATGTGGGAGGTATTTCTGAGAGGTATATGGTCAGACATTAGTGGCAATGGTGTCTTTATCTAGCTAATATCTTACCATTATGTGGGAGGCATATCTGCCGCTCACTGTATTTATTTAGCTTCTGTAAAGTATATTTTGCTATTCTAATACGCTTTCGGATTTCGGTGTTACATTGTGCGTCTTCTGTTAAAACGCAGACACCAGATGTTTACCAGATTAGTACCTGTTTGATTCTGTGGACAGAACACTAATCACTAGCGTCGCAACAATATCACTCACTAGATGAGTTACACTCACCTTACACACATACGCATACATTTACAAACAGCTTGGAGAATATGGATATCTGGGAAAGAATCTTTGAGATTTCATTCTAGCTAATCAATTAGTCAAGATTTTTTATTATTCAGCAAGTTATATTATAATCAATATTATTAAAAATTTAGGAAAATATTCTCCGTAATCTAATGTTTTACTGAATTTTAGAAATGATTGCTTTAAATTTACTATAGTTATCGCACTTATTTCCTGATAATGTCGTGTATAGTCGACCGTACTTACAAAAACCAGCACGTTTATACACATACTAGCAGCATGGCCCGGCGTTGCCCGTGCTTTATTCAAAAATCGCACGACTCATACAGCAATCGCTATCACTTGACTTAAAATATTTTTGCCCTTCCTTGCCTTTAAAGGAGTTCCCTTTGCCGTGCTGATGTTGCTTACTTCTTGCCTATCTCACACTGCGAATTTTTCTAAGCTCTATACTAAACATTAAATCTGTTACGAAAAAAGAACTAAACAAAATGAACACAAAACGATCAGCTTCAAAAAAGGACTCGTAACTGGAAAAACCGAATGAAAAAAGAATGTTAACATCAAATACTTTTTCACACCCAACCCAGTTCTGCGGAATCAGAATCAACGTTGAGTTTAAGCAAGCGAATGAGCCAATTGGAGTAAATTTTTCCCACTTGTGACGAATGCAGCTATCGATTTTTTTTTTTTTTTTTTTGCATGCTAGTTAACATTTGGGTCAGTCAGCTGTTGGCTCTCACGCTGGCCAATATAATCTTTCTGCCTATTCGTGGCAGCCAGCTATAGGCTCTCACTCTGGCCAGTAGAAAATGGCCGCAAACTACATGGAAACTGCCGTAGAAGCATGAAAAAAATCGATTATTTCCACTATCGATGGGAGTTGGGAAATGCAAAGTCGGTCTTGGCCTTCCCGCTAACTTGGAGATTGTGCATGTAAATTTTGGTGCAAATCCGTCGAAAATTGCGGCCGTGTATTCGTTACACATACACACACATCCTGCCTTTTATAGATAGAGATAAAGAAAATTCAATTTTAAAAATATTGGTGTTTGATGATTTGTAATAAACTTCTTTTCGTATCAGCATTTCGAAATGAACTCTGATTTTTGTTTTTTTTTATTTAATAGTTTATATTGTTATTTTCTAGACAAAAGTTAAACTATTTTCACTCGTTGTTGTAAGCTAGTGCTGTTTTTTTTTTTTTAATTTTCCATGTTAACTTTTGTGTATTTTTGTTTGTGCTTTTGAGATTCCATATGTTTTGCGAAGGTTGGGCTATTAGCATATTTTTGCGAGTCGCTTCTCTGTTTCCAGGGACGCTCTCACTATAGTTGGAATCTTGGGGGTTAGCCTCACCTAATCGCAGGCCGTGGAGTCTGAACTATGACTCAGTTGCCTCGCACTGAAACAGAAGAGGATCTTACATTTCGAACCTAACCATGAAAATTGACTCGGATCTTAGTGTCGATACATGCGTAATTACTTCTGACATTTTTGACGGGTACTATGCTAGTATAAAAATAAATAAACTAATACAATAGCATACATTTACAAAAATTCGTGCTTAAAATGACATCATAAAAGTAGAACCATGCTAACAGCTCTACTTCGACTGCACCACAAACCAGCCGCGAATTTTGTGGCTGAATCTTCTGCGATTGTCAGTGTAAAGTTGTAATTAGCAGACCCTCGCCCATTAACGGAAATAATTTATTTTAACATTTTAACAGGAACTAGTGCGGAGGTGAAGTCGGCGGGTGGGCAAAAGAAACTGCGGTTTCAGAGTGAAAAATCCTTATTAAACAACAAGAGTAGCGGGTAGGATCACGTGATGACGATAAAGAGGATTCCCTTTAAAGCACTGAACCCAAATTACGGGTACAACTCTCCGGCGTCTATGTAATATCGATAAACCGGTAAGATAATGTGCTCCAATTTGAAAGTATGTAAAATAATTTAAAGAAAGAATAGTCATTGTCATGCAAATAACTGCAGCATTTGTTTACATATTTTTAAAAATAATTCGAAACATTTTTTTTTTCATTTTTATGTCCGTACAAAGATGGATCGATATGGCGATCAAGTTCTGTCATATATTGTTATCGTTATCTTTATGTCAAACGACGACCACCTCCACCACATCTGCTACCAGGACTTCTTAAGTTAATGCCAAGTCCTTTCAGAACATAAGCGATAATGGCTTGCATTTCCTTTTCTTTATTATTTGCTACATTTTCTTGGGGAATATAGTGTTTTCCCGATGGTTTCTCTATGACATTGAATTCAGATTAGCTTTTCTCCTAAACTGGTTGTCAATCAATGCTGGAAAACTAAGTCTACCCTACTAATTAATTGAGGGAGAAGAGATGGGTTCATGCTTTTTCCAAGGGCATTAGTGCGAAGTGAACACAACAGACACAGCTGGATGACATACCAAACATAATTATACCACACACATATAAAAAAGAAAATATTCTTTACATGAGCAACTTTGTATTGGCCATATACTGCTCTTCATTGTTGATTTGTTCTGTCACTGATACAGTGATTGAATAGGAGAAATTTGTTCCAAATATCCAGGAATAGTGTATCGAGAAATGGAAAGTTCTCTGGATTCGATAGGTAGAGACAAGAATTCAGTTATGAAGCTAACAAGCAATCAACAGCTTGGTATCCCTCACGACCAACCACATTGACAGAAGTCTTTAACAACAATATTCTGTACTATAAACAATATGATTTGGTATAACGGTTTTTAGCTCTGAAAACCCATCTCGAGTTCTAATCCTGACTGAAACTTTCACTTTGTATTTATGCTCTCTGAGAAATATGTGCGGGTGGTGCAATGGATAGCGGCTCGGGATGAGAAATCGGAGAGCCGAGTTCGAATTTCAGCCGAGTTCGAATTTCAGTCATGTTCGTTACATTCACCCACGCAAAATACTCTTAGAAAAGGTATGAATCCATCTCTTTCCCTCAGTTATGGGTTAAATATTAGCACTTGTATTTGGAAAAATCATTGTTATTCTCAAAAAATTCTTAATGATACTTTCGCTAATATTCTTACAATCCAAAATATTTCAAATTTAAATAACCTACAAAGGGTTGATAACCCGTGAAAAATAGATCAATCAATCTCTTTGAGAAGCATGAATTCAAATACCTGAGCTTAGCAGAGAGACGTTTTGATTTTTTAAAAGACAAAAAAAAAAAAAAAAAAAAGATGTCTCTTCGATAACAGATGACGGAGAAAAGAGTGGATGACGGGCCTTGTAAATATCTTAACCTCAATTAGTAGAAACATTAAAAAGCTGTTATACCCATTGACAGTTTTATCATAACTTTAGAAGAGTTTTAGCGATGGACTCCTGCTGATGAATTCAAATATTCCAGTAACAAGTCGGATGCCACAACTTAGAGCAATCTATATTAAACCCCTGTTATTTTGTTGGTTTTTCGTCAGTGGTCACGTAGACGTAAACAAATTCGAAGTTCCATTTGTAGAGTGAGCGTCAAATGCTATCTACTGCGCCATGATTTTATTACTTGAATATAGAATGGAATTAATTTAGAAATATAAATTTAGAAGATATTTTAAATGCTTTTAATTATCTGATGTAGCCACCGATGCCTATTTTTGCTTTTTCTTCAAATAATATTGATTCGTTAAAACGTTTCTACGAGGTTGGATTTAATTACTAATTTAACAATGAAAAAGTATCGACATTTTCTTTTCCTGTTGGAAAATCCAACCTCGTAGAAAAATGGATAAAATTCGTTAATCGTACTGATTGGTTTCCTACGAAAAATTCAGTTCTCTATGAAACATTTTGAAGAGAAATTTATATTGAAAGGAAACCGAAAGAAACTGAATTCGGATTTACACCCAATACCTACAATACATTCAGAAAATATAAGAAAATCGTCTCTTTTACCAAATACAAGGGAATTCAGAAAGGCTCCAAAACAACGACTGATACAAACTGATGAATTACATGATTTTATTTCAGCTGATACGATAAAGGATTTTACTCACTTGGAAGAAGCAAAGTGTTGTCCTAACGGTTTTCCATTGAAAAAAAAAGGAATATTATATTCAAATTTACA